TTTACTTTAACTTTGGTTCATTCTCATTACTTTCATCAGCTGTTTCTCAGGTTAAGACTGTTTGTTGTGTTTTTAAGCAGAAGATTAGCCCTCATTCTCTCTTACTGGATTATCTGAAATAAACACATAACAAGAATTTAAACCACACATGCAGAAACATATTACACATGCTCTGCTGGCCAAATCCTCTCATGGATGCATGAATATACATGTATAAGGCCTGATTTTCCTTGTGAGCCATGTCCATTCACACGGACAGAGACATACGTGTGTGTGTCGGTGGGTAGCTAAAATAGCCGGGGTGGGGTGGGGTTAATCTCAAACCTGTGGCTGTAGTGTTATTGGGATTAAAGTGAGGTATTTTTCTGCTTCATTAACCAAATTAAAGTTGTAAATGATAAAAAGTGGAACACGGGGCAGGCATGGTAACAGAAACCTAAAGACCAGAACATACAAATACTACACAAAGCAAAAGAACCAAAGCCAGAAATATAAACTACACTTTAGAATATTAAATAAACCAGAATCCAAAGAGTCAAAAAGTCCAAAACCACAACAACAATGGGTCAAAGACTCAGGACCATGACAGTAGGTGCTCAATAAAATAAGTGGTGCTCTCCAGCAGAGGGCAGCTTTCTCTCTGAGCTTTTTGAGGTTTGAAAATCTGTCATGTGACAGATCGGGCCACACGACTTAAAGGTTACCAAGCTAACTATAGTTAGCTATAGTTTTAGTATTAACAGTTATACATACATAAGAAGACGATGGTGAGCTGAGCTATTTTTTTTATTAAATAAAGGACTAATAATAAAAAACAGACTTAATTTTTTCCCCACTACACATACAAATACTACACATACACAAGGTTGTAGGAAAACACCCAGGTAGAAACAATGAAGGAATTAGAGGAAATACAAAGATTTCCTGGAGGCAGGAAAATCAACTGACAAAATAAAACAGGAAAAAACAAAAGGGAGACTAAAACAAGGAAATATGACAGACAGTGGGAACATAAAGGGATGCTCATTTAGAGGACAAGTGTTCTGAATTCTTGACCTGAAAAATGTGCGCAGTGGAAAAAAAGAAAATGTGAAGAGGAACTGTTAACCTGCAAGCTTACTGATGTTTCACATCATAGATAATCCCCTAATTTGAAACATCGTATGAATTTAGAATTTACAAAAAATATTTAACTCAAGAGGAAAGTGTTTACAGAGGTCAGAGGTCAAAAATTTATTTTCCCATAAACTTCTACAGGATCAAACTCTTCTTGCACCTATAGCTCTCACCCCCTAGTGACCTTCTGATAGAATACAGGTTTAAGCCACTTCCAAAGAGAAGGTAAAACAATAGTTTAGACAAAGTTGAAAAAACAGACACTGTTTTTGCAGGAAATTCAAATGGTAGAAGTTTTTCACGTGAAAATTAAGTCTGGTATCATCAGTGAGTTGGTCACGATGGCTGTTGGTTGTAGGTGTTCCAAATAGACCAACTATTTTTTGCTTAATATCCTTTAAATACTCCGCAGTGAAGGGAAATCTTTCTGCTAAGTCACATCTACTAGACAGGATCAGAGTGGGAATATGGAAAAAAGGGAGGTGAAAACATTTGTAGACATGCAGTAAATCTCTTTATGGATGTAGAAAAGTATCAGAGGGATTAATGGGGCGGACTTGCCAGATGTAATCTTGTCCTTTATCCACTAAACTTGCCACATTCATTACTTCAAAACACCTTCACAAAACTGTCTGTGATGAGTTCAATAATGCCCACTAACTCAATAACAACAAATACAGGAGGTATGTTTTATAACTGGAGAATTCTCTTTCAGTACAATAGAAATTTAATAGAAATGTCACAAAAAAAGACGCCTGACTTCTTGATCCTTATAATAATACAGTAATCAATGCCCATTACATTGTAAAAAAAATATTGTTATATAAAAGAAAAGAACTTGATTCTGTCACAGACTGGTTTAATCACCAAAAACTTTTGGCAAGCAAAGGTTAAAATACCTGAAGATTATAGGATTAGCTGAGGGGGACTTTACATTTTCAAAGGTTTACGTCAGTTTGGACACATTATAACAGCCGTCACCTCATGGGTTCCCTGAAACAGTGGATTACAGTTGTTTTTTTTTAACTTGACTAATGCACTTTCAGCATGTGATAATATGATAGATGAAAACAAATATAGTGTGTATGCGTGGCTGTTGATTATAAGACGTTACAGGATGCAGCAGCAGGGTGATAAAGCCTTTCAATGGATCATATTTCAGAAACGCTTTGTTTGGTTACTTTCTAACCCCTTTTTAAAAACGAATTGTATTCTGTTGCATTTGTAGTTTCAGGAATAATTTCAGTGCTGTCAACATCCTCAGAGGAAAAACTAACTCAGCCAACCTCACAGAGAGGTCGCCTCTGCTGCGATTCTCTCAAGATGACAGGTGAGTCTTTCCTCAGGCTTTTCATGGGCATATTGCTCTAAACCCTAAGATGCTCAAAATGAAACAAAAATAATAATTACACGTGGGATTAGGTAAACAAGATAAATGATCAGTTTATTTAGTTCATTCTTATAAAACCTCCACCGTATTTAGCTACTTAGTAATTGTTAGCAAGCAGTTCTTAGCTGTTACAGTGCATGAGTCATAAACTGGATAAAAGTTTATGACAAAACAGGGTCAGCTGCTGCCAGGCTTTTATTTTAAACAAGAAGTGACGATATTTGGACAAACAGGCACAGTTCAGTTCAGCTGTCATGTAGAATTAAACTATTTTTAAAGGCACTTTAAAATGGGAGTGTACGGGCACTGGCTCAGCTTTGGAGACAGCCTCTAGTGGACAGAACTGGAACTGCAGGTTGTTGGGCTTCATTGACTTTTTAGGTTGACGCTTCATAGTTTATGTACACACACACACACACACACACACACAGTGCAAATTTACTCTGCTAGTGGCTTCCAAGCAGGGCCGGAGTTTTGAGCTTGGGTTATCAGTCAGCATCAGAGTGAAGACAATATGATCAGAGTTACTTATGCAGTATTTCTAAGGCGGCTTCTCAGACAACACACAACCAGCCAGCACTTAATGTATTCATATCAGAATCTATCATTTGTGACACTGCTTTCTACAAACAGTTACACAGATGTGGACATGCAACCCACACTGCCCATTTTGTGACAGATGAGGTCAGCCAGGAGTCACGATTAACTTTTGCAGATGATATTGTGATCTGTAGTGAGAAAAGGAAGCAGCTGGAAGAGAGCCTGTAGAGGTGGATACTTTGGTGAGAAGAGGATTAAAGTCAGTAGAAGCAAGACTATATGTGTGTGAATGAGAGGGAGACAGGTGTAACAGGAGGGAGGAAGAGAGGAAGACCACAGAGAAGATTGATTAATGGATGTAGTGATGGAGGACATGCAGGGGAGGATGCTGGAATACGGTGAGGCGGAGGCAGATGATCTGCTGTAGCTTCAAGAAAAATAAGCTTTAGTAATCAAAAAACACACTTAAATGACTTATACGTTTAAAAAAAAATTATAAACATGTTTTTTTGTAATGTCTTATTATATGTTATCTGAAAATTGTCATTGTTAAACTCCAAGGTTTTTACAGAAGCAGTTTTATAATCGGGAATATTTTTCCTTAAAAGGGGACCGTGTGTGTGTGTGTGTGCACATTCATATCATTGTGGGGGCCAAAAATTGGAAGTTTACTATACTTGTGGGGACCAACAAGTGGGGGGACCGAAATCCCGGTCTCGACGAGTTTGAAGGCATTTTTGAGAGTCAGAATGTTGTTTTAATGACAAGTTACAATTGGATTATTTTTAGGTTTAGGGTTAGGCATTCATTTTTAATTGCTAGGGTTAAGGCTAAGGGGCTAGGGAAAGCATTATGTCCCCACAAGATATGAATACCCAACGTGTGTGTGTGTGTGTGTGTGTGTGTGTGTGTGTGTGTGTGTGTCTTTAATGCCTCATGTTAGGCACAAATACAATGGAACATTAGTGGTTGTATTAAATAAAATGACTCATCCTACAAGTGCGTTGTACTGCCCTTCTTACAGGGTTGTACAACAGACTTATGGGATGATGGGAGAAACATTTTTTAATTTGCTCTGCGATCTGCAGCTGCTGCCTTTGAATGTTGTGTTTATTTTTTTGTATTGAGGTGTAGTGATTGATGAGGGGCTGAGACTGTGATTATTCATTTTCCAGCATAACCTACATGACCCTGCATGACCCCAGCTTTGTTGGAGGGGAGGAGCCCTGGAACAACGGCTCCCTGGACGTGGAGAGGCGGTACCGGCTGGGCAGCGAGGTCACCAGCCTGTCGCTATCGCACTCCAGCTCCTCGGAGAAGTACGACCCTCTGGACAACCTCAACCTCAGCTTCAGGTTCACAAGCAACGTGAAGTGAGTCCTGACTTCTTCTCTCCATTTGATCCCTCAGTGTGATGCCATTATTCCTCAGAGAAACAGATAAAAGTGCGTAAGGAAAAGTAGGGCCAGTGGAAAAAGATAATCATTATCATGTTAATCCGTTTTATGGGGCCTGAGCCTCTTGGTTTAAAACCAATAGTATCACACCAAGCTCATTCAATTTTACTCACTATCCACTTTTTGGTCTTCCCAGATGCTGCTTCAAAGTCTCCAAAACTGCAACCATCTTTGCATTTGTTGTTCTCTGCAGTGTAAGTATATATCTCCCTGTAGAACAGACACCACCGCATAATAAAATGGAAAGTATAACATGGTAAAGACCTAATTGCTACATAAAAGCTGTTTGGTATTACTGAAATCACTGAAAGTAAATGATAGCTAGGTCAGCTGCTTTCCTCTGTTTTTTAATACTAACCTTAGCTAATCACCTCTTGGTCTGTTTACTCTTCACTGGATTAAATCAAATAAAACACCACATTTTAGACCATTTTCATAAAAATTGCATTCACTGAATCTATGTAATGCATCTTTGTGGCTCAGCTATAGGAGGGAAAGGTGTGGCAGGATGACTGGCTGGTAGTGGATGCAGGGGGGAACCGGAGCTGTCTGCAGAGACAGTGCAGCTCCAGCCATGCAAAGCATCAGAGCAGTTTTCAATTGTAAACACTGTAAATAAAGCACAGTGTGTCGTCACTAAAATTACCTGCTGATCCCGTTTAAAATATGTTCTTTATAAAATATACCGATGACTTTATTCTGGTTCCAGCTGTTCTTCAGCATGTATCCTGATCGCGACAACCCCTGGAGGATGGTGGCAGTCTCTCCCACAGAGAGTTTCTGTATCCTTTCCAGTGACTTACCGTAGACATGCCCTACTAGTTCTGAGATCACAGCAAAGATGAGAGGGCTGGAAAATGAAGCAGGGTTGTTTTACATCGAGTATGAGCCACGCTAACACACTCTAGATTTGGATTTAATGCCCCCGTTCATTTCAAATGCACAAAACATTCAATGTGTCTGGATTTTTCACTTGACCGCCCACGTCTCACAGCAATGAATGTGACTGATTTTCGGGACAATGCTTTACTGAAGCTACAAGTGGCCGGGCCTTTTGCAGGGGGGATGATAGATTTGACCACTCAGGAGTACATCCTCATCCAGGTAGAGCAGACCGAGCAGCCAGGACAGCGGCGGAGGAGGACTCAGCAGGTGAGAGCAGCCTCGAGCTCCATCTTCCTCACAGCATTATTACACTAATGAGATTCTGCCCCGTTTATATTGTGCTGTTTGTAAACAGGTGACTCATAATTGGACGATCCCTCTACACGCAAAAAGAAGCGACCAGATAGTGGAAACAAAAACCTTTGAGATGCTCAACAGGTACTCAGAATATTGTGACAGTATATTGATATGACCGCCTCGGTTTTAATGGTCACATGGGCCTAAAAGTAGTTCCGGTTATCACTGGGGTTGTTTATGTGATATACAAAAACAACAAAACCAATAATAATTTTAAAGCTGACCTTTCTGACTTTCAAAGCAGTGTAGTTTGCAAGCTTTCTACCACCTTTACTGTCATATTTCTGACTCTTTGTGTGTGCATTTATCATTTAGAGTGTGTAACATTTATCCCAGTTAGAAGCCACTGGTGTCAGAGACATGCACAATATATCCAGTGAGCAATTCTGGACTGTCTGCTGGTTCAAGAGAGCAACTCTTTACTCCCTGTTATGGTTTATTTTAAAGTCACTTTCTTTGACCTTTTTTTTTTTTTTTTTTGCTCGATAAGCCTGGACATGTTTCCGACTTGATCTACGTTCCTTTGGTCAGGAGCTCTGCACATACAAATGGCTGAGATGAATTTCTGGGAGAGTTTGAAGCTGCTGCTCCTTCACTTTAAAAGGAGCCAGCTTGAGCATCTGATTAGATCCCTCCTGGGTGTCTGAGCTCTGAGGCTTCTGGGGCTCAAACACTGAACAAATCTCTGTAGGATGGCCTTCTTTCATCTTATCAATATCACTGAAATTACAAACATCCTGTCTCAGAGGGATGCTGAAAAAGTAGTTCGTGAATTTGTTACCTCTATGCTGGACTGATGTAATTCTTTATTATCAGCTTTAAGAAGCTCCTTGTGGTTCCTACAGTTTCTAAAAATAGAAATGGAGGCAGAACCTTCAGCTTTCAGGCCCCTCTTTGGAACCCAGCTTGGATTCAGGAGACAGACACCCTCTCTTCTTTAAGATTAGGCTTAAGACTTTCCTTTTTGATAAAGCTCATATATTTATGGCTGAACCATCCCTTAGTTTTGCTGCAATAGGCTGAGGCTGGTGGGAGACTACCCATGATGCACTGAGACCTTTTTCACTGCTGCGCATTGTCGTCATTAACTTCTTTCTTCTGTAGCTCGAGTTTTGTGCTGTTTGTGGTCCCTCTTTTCCTCTTCTATTCCCCCTCACTCCCCCCAGTTATGGCAGATGGCTGCACCTCTCTGGGCCTGGTTCTGCTGGAGGTCTCTTCCTGTTGAAAGGGAATTCTGCATAGCGTGTTGTCCTTTTGTCGCTTTATAAAGACTTTACTGAATGTGATGTACTGTAATGATTGGTGTTGTGAATTAGTCCCACAGAAATAAATGTAAATGGAAAACAATTAATTGAATAAAATGTGTTTGATAGGTGCCACTGATTTTGAAAGTGCTATGATACCCACAGAAAAGGAGCAAATTAAACAATATAACTTGACTTAAGGTGTTTCTGGTGTTTTGTCTTTGCTGATAGATTTCTGACAGACGGTCGTAATTCCAACAAAAGCAATGAAAGATGATCATTCCCACCATTCTTGTTGCCATTTCATTTCTTGCACAGTGATCCCATCGCCATCACAATTCAGGCGTTCCTGCAGGATAACGAGGTGGTGCCGCTATCCATGACCCACCAGTCGCTTTACGTCAGCGTGGAGACACAGGTGGCCATTGCTGGAATCATCCTAGCTGGGGTCTATGTTCTCATCATCTTTGAGGTAAATAGCCTGTGGTGCTCATGCTCTTCTACGGGTGATGAACGAGCTTGTTTTCGGTGTCTGTGGCCTAGTTCGAAATGTGAAACGCACAGTTCAGCGCGGCCCGCGAACAACAACGACACACTCACACAAGAACACTGGACTGCACGTGTGATATCACTCATGCTACGAGCATGTAAACAGAAGTATGCTCATTGCGTCAGAATGAGGGCCGGAAAACTGAATCTCCAGAGCTGCGTTTAGTTCAGACATCATTTTTAATCCGAGAATTAAAAACATTTCACTGTCAGAGAAAAAAGAAAACAGGTGGGATTTATAAAATTGATTATGGCTGAATTCCATTCAGCTGCTTCACTTTCAGGCTCCTGGTATTGTTCATGCTGGCTCGCTGTCACACTCCTATGGCCTGCAGGGACACTTGAAATAGAGCAGAGCAATCGTTAACGGTGCACCTGTGCTTTTCCCACTCTGCCAAGTCATGGAAAGAGCCTCACTGGTAACTCATTGCCACACAGGTGTTTTTATTTCGCCTGATTAGACTTCTTCTGCCAGTGAGCATGTGCAGTCTGTGCCTCAGTGGCAGCGCCGCCCCACTTGTGTTAACTTTATTAGATTCGATGCACCTGTCAGAGTGGGACAATTGACTAAACTTTGCCCTCCTCAGTTGATGGTGCTGAAGTGTGTCTATGATTGTACATAGTACTGGACTGGGATTTGGCAACACTGAATGATGACCGCTCCCAACACAATTAAATCAGACAGATGACAGCAGCCGCGCAGAAATGGGCAGCTATGTTATTAGTTTAAAAAAAGCTACTTCTGTGTCCGTTAAACCCTGATTAAAATGGAAATTACTATAAAACGACCGTGTTCTTCATATTATATGTTGTATTTTCCAATAAAAATTCACTTAACTAAAAGATGAGCTCTGTTGACATGGGTCTGTGGACACTACAGACTGTGCTGAACTTAAAGAAAGTCATTTATTGATTGATTGCAAAACAGAGCCCAATGAGGAAAACCTGATAACGGACTGAGGAGAATCACTAGACCAAGGAGAACAGATGCTCTGACAAAGGGGGAGGCAGCAACTGTAAATTTACACACAGTATGGCAGTAGAGGAAGTGGAAACAGGTGGGGAGAACGAGAGACAGCTGAACTAAATCACAGAAGAGGAGACAAAAGTGAAGCACAAGGAACGCTGAAGCTCAAAATAAAGCAGGAAGTGAAATAAGCTCATAGAGCTCCCCCTAAAGGTCAAGGGCTATACTAAAACTTTGATGTTTCACAATGTTTATATCGCAGCATGCTAACATGCAACCTTTGACCTATGAGCTTTAAGCATTACATAATAAAGTCACATATATTTTATTATCTTTACCCATATGATTGGAACAGAATTGGCTGAAATCTTCAGCTGTTAAAACGTGACATTTTCAGATATCCAGTGTGTGATTTTGCAATACTTTGTAGTCATTGTGACATCAAAGGGTATATTGGATTGAAAAAACAAAGTGGTGGTTTCTTGAATTTTTTTTCAAGGTTAACTTTGACCTTGGGTGCTAATAATGAAGGTCAAATGCTCGTACTGAATTTCAAATTTGGTGTGACCTTAACCTGATTTTTGCCAAAATTAAATCAGCTCAAGCTGTTATTGATATCTACCATCACACAAAATTTGAGCTGGATATCTTGGAAACTGTAGACCATAGACTGCTAACAAACAAACAAACAGAACAGATTGCATGCTTCCCTCCTTCAGCGGGAGAGTGAACATTAGACTTGACACAGATGCATTAAACTCTAAAACAAGAGCGGACTAAATGCACTAAGTGGAAAAACACATAAAACAATACAAACACTTAGAAAACCAAGAGTATTTAGATAAACAAAACTCCCAAAACACTGTAAATTGACTCAGGACCTTGATATGATATGACCAGCAGTGCAACATGTCTTGTTTTGGTTGAGCTTTTTAACATCCACGCAACCAAAAGTCTTTTTGCAACCAGAGCACTTGCCCCCTGCTGGACACTAAGAAGAATGCATGTTTCAGGCAGCAGTCAGAGACTTTTCTGATCTGCATCATTAATGGATGATTAATATATGACTTATATCTGAAACAGCAGCCGCTATCACTTTGAGGAGGTTCTTGGTTTGTGGCTTTAGATTTGAGTTTTACTTCCACTCAGGGTTTGCTTGTTTAAATCAGATGGACTCCTCTGTCTGAGAGCATGTGAACTCACTAAACTGTACCGACGGGGTCGCTGGGACATGAAAGTCAAGCGCAGGCCTTGAGAGATGACAGCGCAGTTTTACTCTGCACACTCGCTCATGCGTCGCTTGTGTAACTGACAGATCCTCTCACAGAAGCTGTAATTCAAAGACAGAGGGATCGTCTCAGAAAGAGAGTGCACGAGCGCTCAGACATCAGGATGCTGTATGACTTTGGCGCTGTCAGGTCTCCATTTGCTAATGTCTCACTCCTCCACAGAGTTATGCTTTTAGTCTCTAGTCTGATAACTTGACGCAGCCTCCTAATGAGTGAGTGCATATGCAGTCTCTCACATTTAGGGTATTCTGAATGCTGAGATCAAACAAAGGGATTTGTCAGTGTTGGTAATTGGGCACTAGTTTGTGATTTTTTTTTTTTTTTAATGGGCATTTCAGTGAAATGTTCCAAAAGATCTGAAGTAAAGAACTGTGATGTCATTTTTATTTTGTCAGTTTTGAGACAGGCTGAGGCTGAAGAAAGTTTCGCTGCTTTTGTTCCACTTTACTCATTATTTAAGCAGAAGTGTTAAGACAAATAGATTATAAATGTCTACAGAGCGTCTGAGCTATTATTCATTGTGAGTGACAAGACCCAGTTTAGTGCTGAGCAGTTCACAAAGGTGAGTAATGCATTAAAGACACTGCGACTGTGATGCTGTTGTTTTTAACTGACAGCAGAATCAAATCTTATTTTTACCAATAAAAAATAGATTCAGATCTGTCAATAAAAACATGTTAACTAAAGGAAATAAAATAGACTAAAGAAAGCCTCCTACGCTGTCCAAGAAACGCACAGAGTGGCATAAAATGTTGTAAAAGTGTTAAGAAGATTTAAATTCACATTAATTTATGCAATTAAAGCTTAAACATCAAGAGTAATTCAGATGTCAAAATGTCATTTTTGGCTTTTAAAAACATTCATTCATTTCTTTTTGTGCCTGGAGTCAAATGTTGATGGTTTTGCAACATGAACGCACTTTTACTGTGTCAGTAAAATATTTCTGATTTACTCTAAAAAAAAAAAAGAAGCAGCGTTTTCATCGTTAAACAGTTTGCTTTCTATATTCACTATATACACAGTAGTTGTTC